AGCGCTTTTAAATAATCACGACACGTCTTTTCTTTTTGAATACAAGTTTATTAATGACGCTTTTTCACAGCATTCATATTATACTCTGATCTAGCTTATTATCTAGTTTATAATCTAGGTTATTATATATATTCATAATATAAAAGAAGAAAAGAGATAGACATATATACAATCAATATTCTAGAAGAATTATATGTACAAATAATAACCGTTATCCTGAAATACATAAAACGTTCTGGAAAAACATATATAATACATATATACGAACTTAAATAAATGAAGCGGTACACTACCAACAAAACATAATAAGGCTACATATACATACATTACTACAGTATATTTCTAAGCGAAAAGGGGAAAAATTATACCATTTTTATTAGAACTTTCCACTAAGGTAGAATTTATTCCACTTGTTGTACTTTTTCTTTCTTCAATTGATACTCTATATGTTTTATAATATGAATTCAAAACACATGATTATTAAGCATACACGGTCCTCATTGAATAAGATTCTTTAAGAGAGAACTTTTTGGTACTCTTTATTTCATAAATGGTACTTTTTGAATTTTCTAAAATATTCAACCTAGGAATATAAATTTTAACATATATGGTCTTGACTGAATAATATTATGTAAATGGGAACTCTGGTACTTTTCCATTCTTCATATGGTACCTTTTAGATACTCTATAATGGTTACCGGAACACATGACACACTGTACTTATTAAATGAGAATTTATTTAGAGAGAATTTTGTACATTTTCGTTTTTTTTTTTATATTTTTACGATATTGAACATGGAAATATTAAGTTTAAAACGTAGGGACCTTAGTGAATAAGAATCTACTGAAAGGGACTTTTGGTACTTTTTCATTCATCAAATTATATTTTTTGAATTGTCTGTAATATTGAACACAGAAACATACAATTTTTGATTAAATAAGAGGGTCATTCCAATGTGACGGTCGTTTCATTTGTACACATTTGAACTGTTATAATTTCGGAATGAAAACAGAAATTGATATTTTATTCTTTATATTTTATTTTTATAAGAGAATTTTGTGTCGGTTGCTACAAATTTTGTGACGGCCATTACTAGTACGAATTGAATAAACTTTTTAATACTTTTTTAGTTTATATTTGTAAATATTTAACAAAAAAATTTATAAAAATTTATTTATATGTGTTTAATCTTAATACTGTCCTATTTAATAATTTTTTAAGATTTTATTTTTAGTCTCATTTTTTTGACGATTTTTTAAATTCGCTTTCTGAATCTGAGTACACATCTTCGTACACAACTCTATCTTTGACCAAAAGACATTTTTGTATTTTTGAACTGCCTGTAAGAGCAGAGGGTTGAGAAAATCTTTATTGCCTTCTAGAGTCTACCTTTCGCAGTTGCCCCCAAGCCATCGACCGCTCCCTTTCCATGGATAGTGTCAAAAAAAGCCCTCTCAATTTTAACTCCCCAGTCTTTCATACTATAATACTTATACACTAGAAATGGTAAACCTATTTTTAAATTGTGCTGCGCATCCGTCTGAAAAAAATCGCAATTTTTCTCAAATTGGGGTATTTAGACTTTAGGTCATCAACAATTGTTTTTAAAAACAACCACACTGATATCTTATTATGTAATAAATCGTTACTTATTACCACAAAGCTGTTCATAATTTTACATTTCTCCAACCAAACGCAGCACGTAAACAAAATAGTTTGAGGGTGCCGCCAAATGCATTTTGTATCTCATCTTGCGACATTATAGTAAAGTTTCTCCAAGTACATTCTAAACTTTTCAATATCACTCTTTAATTTTTCTCGACTTTTCTTTTTCCTCGCAGCCACATCCATATTAACTACAATGCAAAAATTATTTTGTTATAAAAATGATAAATTGTGACGGTCATTACACACTCAAAACGCCCTTTATTTTGAAGAGAAACCAATTTGATGTTATGAAAACTGTTAAGCTGGAGGTCCACACTACGCGTCTTCGCGGCAAAGCATTTCGTGCTTTTCATACATTCTTTGCATCCTACGCATCAAGTTACATGCTACGCTTCTTAAGCGTCAAATTTTTGCTTTATTTACAAAGAACTTCGCGTTTTTTAAAAGTTTTTTGTTTATATTTTCACAATTTAACTCGTTTTAGTTATTAAAATTGATATATACACATTAAAAATAGAATATAAATTGTCAAAATCAGCTGACATATTCGTGCACCGCTTATGACGCTTACAAAAGTAGAAAGTAGATCTACTTTATGCATTCTACGCGTCAAAGCATCCTACGCTTTTGTGCTTGTAACTTCTAGCACACAACAACATTGATTCAACTTTTTTGACAGCCGCGTAGAATGCGAAGAAGCGTAGAACGCGTGGTGTGGACCTCCAGCTTTAATATTTATTGCCTAATCACATATTGTTACTTATGACAGGTCAATTTAAAAAAAAACAGTCCCTACAGCTTATCTAATATTTGCTTTTCCATATATTTTGTGGCGGACGTTACACAAAATCAGTAGCAAATTATTTTCCAATTTTATGACTAATACAAACCTGAATAATTAAAATTTTTCTACAAGAAATACACACGTGTCGTAGCTTTAAGAACAAACAGTGTACACTGGAACAAACTAAATTTTACCGTCTATCAAAGTGAGAGACATACAAACATGGATTGCTATTACAATAATTTTTTAAACTACTTCATTGACTTTGAAACTCTTATAGTTTGAAGAAAAATATAACGAAAATTGGTAAAAATTTTGAAAAAAATATTCTGAATTATGTTAGTTGGGATTATAATGCTTGCAATTTTAGTATTATAATGTACATATCTGCCAATTACTTATACCATTTCTTGGTAACGATTACTGTGGAATGGCCCAAGAGGTATTTTATAGTACTTTTTTTTCAAAAAGAAATTTCGAAATTTTTTATAATGTGGAAGCTAAACGAATGAAACTAAAAATACAAGCTTCTTCCTGAATGCGAATTTATTCATGTGATATTGTACGTAAAAAACTGAAACCAAAGAATAATAAGAAGTTGGACTATGACATTGTTTTACAACAATAACATTTCCTTCTCTTCACAGACGAGTTCTGTGTAAATTCAACACACTTGTGAGAACTCAATTCTCTCACAATACTTCAAAACTATTTCGCGAAAATACCGGGATAATAGGACTTGAACGACGTTTTTTCACAAACACATTACTATTTTTTAATTTTTTAAACAATTTTATCACATTTAACAATCCGAAATACTTTTATTTTTCACAAACTAAAAAAATATTTTTTTAATTTTTTTGACAATTAATTTTTGTGTGTTGAAATTAAAATTGACAAAACAAAGTTGTATATTTTGGTATTGAAAATGAAAAAATTATTTAAAATAAACTTAGTTTTTTGCAAAAAAAGAGATTTTAAGTCCGAAAAATATATTTATTAAATGTTTACTGATTAGATGTGGGCAAAATAAATTAAAAAATCTGCGAATGTAGAAATTTAAATGTTATTTATTTTTCCTAAAATTTTTATGTACGATTTTATGCAAGTATGTATGTTTGGAAAGTGTGGTGAAAGTGGTTGGAGCTCCAATACTAATACAAAAATTCTACCAATACATACTTAGAGTTAGGTACCGAATGACACCTCCTTTACGTACCAACTGACAAGCCCCAATTTCTTTATATTCTTTGACTGAAACATTAAAAAATGTTTAAATCAATTTTAATTTTCTATAAAAGTAAACAAAATTTTGTATGTATTTAATTTTGGTTAGGGTAGCGAAGCACCCAGGGTATGCTAGTTTGTTAATTAAAATTATAAACCTGTGTTATTTTCACTGTAGTCAATTGATGAAGGAGGGTTTGAGTGAGGGCCGATATTTTTAAAAATAGCACTATTACTAACCCAGAACAAAATAATAATGTCATCCTTTACAAACGACATCTTAATCACATCCAAAAATACGATTACCTTAGTTAAACGTGAGGAAAGAGATGTAGAAAAGTCACTACAAATAACATATTCGATGTACATCACACTTTGGTGAAAAACCAGTCAAATTTACATAAGCATGTTGTTTATTTTTGACATCCAAATATCGAATTTTTACTGCTTCTAAAAATAAGATTAGATGTTTCATAGGTTTTTCACCAAAATTGAAGTACTTCAAGTATGTTATTTGTGGTGAAAATTCTACTAGTCCTCAATACAAAACTCTTTTTGGAAAGATACATGAACTCCATAATTCATTTAAAAACACTATTAAATGTGACGTCATTAATTTTTATGTGAACATAAAATATTTTTAGGATCGGTTTATATTTGAACCTATTTCCAATATAAAGCACCTTTCAAAAAATATTTTTTAAATAATTCTGTATTACGAAAGATCTATAACTTTGTCAATTAAGTATAAAATAGTCAATTAATATATAAATAGTTTTCTAATGCATTAATTAATAGTATGGTTTCTATACAAAATCTCCAAACTTAGAAATCGGGACAAAACTCAAATCAAAAATATGTCTGCTGATGAAATTTCTCCAGGGTAGTTAAACATAAAACATATATGTATGTCATTATAAAGCTATCACTTTTTTCTTTCCAAATTCGTTAATAAATTTAAAGTCGGTTGAGGTGCTGAGGTGCGCTCCTTTTCATGAAAATACTGATCTAGGGATTGTATAAGATTATATCATGTGACGCACTTTGAAATTCTTTAAAAAATTTGTAAGTCAGAAGTTATCGGAAAAAATTCAGTTTTATTTTTTTTGTCTTTGTACGTTAATAATAAATAAATTTTATTTTTTGTTTTCATTTAGAGAAACATACGAATTTTGTCTATGTTATCCAAATAAAACAAGTTTATTTAGTGGATTCCTGTAATTTATTGATTAGAATATTGCCTAAAATTAAAATTAATTGAAATGACATTAAAAGTGATGACCTGTATGCTCATACATATGTATACTTTTTATTTTATAGAGCAAAATAATTTGTCTTAAATTTCTAAGACCAGGAAGATTGGAAAGAAAGCCACAATAATTTCGAATCCTTTTTCTTTCGCTTCGTTATAAATTCGCGTTAATTAATTATTAATTATGGCAGACGACGAGATACTGTTTGATGATGTTTACGAATTGTGTGAAGTAATTGGCAAGTAAGTAAATTTGTATCAAAAAACGAATTGTGAATACCAGATATAATTTAATATTTTATTATTTACAGAGGCCCCTTTTCCATAGTACGACGATGTATACATAGAGAATCTAATCAACAGTTTGCTGTTAAAATAGTTGATGTAGCTAAATTTACAGCAAGTCCCGGACTTAGCACAGCAGGTAAATCTGAAATGTTAAATGTAATTAATAATCACAAAAAAATTTAAAAATAGTAACGGATAAGTTAATACGTGTTTGCTAATAAGGGATTAGATATTTTTATCAATTTCAATTTCATATTATTTTTCATTTTCTGATAAAAGTATCTAAAATCCAAATGGGTGTAACAACCAAAAAATTGAAAATCGACTTTTTGATTGAAAATAGTCCAAATGCATCAAAATAAATGTTGTTGCGATTTTTTAGAACTCTATTGTCAAAAACACCGACACCGTTGTTACGCCCTTTTGCATTTCAGGTGACGATATCCTTTTTTGGTTATAACTAGGAAATTTTGGAGTACTAGTAGGGTTTCAAAGCGGGAATTTTTACCTGGGAATTCCCGGGAAAGTTTTGTCGGGAAATTTCATAATTTCAAATTGCAGATTTCTTCATAAATTTGTTGAAAATATTAGATAATTTAAGGAAACACTATTTAAATTTATAATTGCTTCAGTGTATCATATCCGATGCTATGAAATTCGATCTCAGTAACGAATACTTTAATCATTAATTTTAGATAATATAACAGACAAAAGACTGAATAACCTTCAACATATTGTTAGAGATATATTACATTTAGGACGGATTTCACAGTTCTCCCAAAGGAAAGAAATTACACTTAAGTTCGAAAAATTATATGAAATTTTTAAAACTTAAGTTAACTTTAGAACGTAGCTCTTACGCCTTGGAGAATGAGATAATGGGATTGTTTCTAACCATAAATGAGGGAAATAACTTCTCGAGCAAAACTTTGTAATTCAAAAAGAACAGTCACAAATTGATGTTTTTAGTCCGTAGTTACTTCCTATAGTTTTTCTATTAGTTTCTTGAAATTCCGATAAATTTTGTTAATGTATAAAATTTTTAAATTGTTAATTTTTATTAAAAATTGTTTGTAAAGGATTTAATTAACACGTTAAAAAATCAATAATTACAGTTCCAATTCCTTTTTTGAGAATAGAAAGTTTTTATTACGAAAGAAAAAAGTTTTATATTTATAGTAACTAAAATCTCTCCACCAAATGTTATGATGTTGGTCTATAATTCTTTCACTTATATGGGACCACCGGTCTCCCAAGATTATTTTTTTAATTTTTCTCGATGTAGATCGTAATTTTGAGTTCACAGCTACAGTAAATGATTATTTCCCATAGAAAACTAATTTCTTTTTTAGATTTTGACGGCACTACATACACTAAAAAAAATCCATTCCTCTTATATATGAAAAATGTCGTACATTGTACGAATCTTTCGTTTTTTCGCACCACGAAATTCTTTCGTAATATATACGAAATTGTACGAAATATTTTAGTAAAATGCAAAATAATCTTGGAAAAATTAATTTACAGAAGTTGAAAAAAGTGAATTTTGAATAAATATGGTAAAATTTACGAAATATTAATTTATGCAAACATTTTTGTTAATTTTAAAATAATTTTTCTAATTTTAGTTCAAAATTATTCTCCACATGAATTTAAATTTTTTTTTTTATGAAAATACTTCGTGAATTATATTATACTTCTTTTTTTAAATTTTATAAAAATGTTGTAGTTTTATTTAATGATAATATAATTAATATCATTATGTTTAATTTCTCTAAAATTTAAGGAACAAATATTACGAAAGGTTTTCGTACTTTCGTAAAAATAGAAAAGGGTTTTATTAAATAATATTTCGTATTATTTACGAAATTTTTGTAAATATTACGAAAATAGAAGTTACGAATTTTTTTCCGTAAAGTTGAGCATGGATTATTTTCAGTGCATAAATCGAAATCTCTTTATAAAATTAAATTGGGATCAGTCCATTATTGAGTCTACACCAACTACTCCCCCTAACAATGTCATCTTTAGAATATGACTTCAACGACCACTACTGTCTCAAAAATACCACTAAATTTATAAAACTCGCCATAAATATGTTTTATATTACATAAAATCTCCCTACCAATTTTTATTATTTTTCTGGGTTGAAAATATTGGTATAGCTATGAAATTCACCATAAATAAGTTTTATTGTAAACAAAATCTACCTATCAAATTTCATAAGGATCGGTCTATAAGGTCCCCTACTTATAAGGTCCCCTTTATAAAGTATTTTAACGAATATTACTGTTCTAAAAATACAGGTAAAATAATGAAATCCAGCAAAAATAAGTTTTACAAGAACCAAAATTTTAAGAGTATCAGTCCATATTTGACTCTATCCTCATATAAACATTCTTCCAAAAGATATTTATTATCAATGAATCCAAGTGTTAAGTACTATGATAGAAAAACTCAACAAACAGATTTGATTTAAAAAAAGGGTCACTCTTTGAAATTCTGAAGAACATCGTCCATAATTAAATTAAGCTCTTATTAAAGAACTTATTCCAATGTTCACATTGACTTTAAATTCACCTTATATTTGCAAGACATGCTTAGATGCTGGGTATATAAGATTTGGTACAGCCTAAATATTACACGCTTACCTGTTTATTATGGCAGTGAAGCAAAACAATAGTAATTAATTTGTTTTAAATTTTAGTATGAAAATTTGGCGTATGGAGCAAAACAATATTTATTTAGTTTTAAAAATGTGAATATAGACTAAAGTTAACACCCGATATCTCGGAGATCATATCAAATATCGTGGAATGGGTTTCGGAATCGGAAAGAGGATGTCCAAATTATATACAATCCACTCCTAACTAAATTTTTTTAAAAACGGTCGGTGGGTCAAACCAATATTACAGACGATGTGTCTTTAAAAAGTTCCAGGTTATCATACATCGAAAAATTTTATTACTTTCCCGGAAATTCCCGGAATGAAAATGTCCGGGAAATAAGAAACTCTAAGGGCCAATCTTTAGGTGAAAGATTAGCGATTAAATTAAAATTAATCCTCGAAAGGCGTTTTTGAGTACTCAATTACTTAATTTTGTTTGCAAGTTTAAGCGCCCAATGGAGGTGGTTTAAACTTAAGCATGAAATACAAAAGTGTAAACATCTGATGCAAAAAAATTAATACAATTTTTATAAATATAAACATTAAAATGTTCTATTTATTGATTAGTATAAATTATGGACACTTCAAAATACATTTTTTGTTTTAAATTTAAGTTTTCATTAATTTTCTTATTACATTTACAATTGTCTTCTTCTTTTTTATAAAACATGTATTGTTTAGATAACAAACATCTTGTACTCAAAAACATCAAAGGGGGTTAACATAAGATTAAAATATATTTTTAGATTAACTAATCTGATTATTAATTGGCATTTGATTGCCAACTTAAAAACCCGCTCTAAGTAGTTAATACAAATTAGTAACAATTGTTACTGGAAAAGCGTTCATTAACTCAAAAAACTTGCATGTAGAGAAGAAAATAAGAGCAAACTCGTTCCAAACTTTTACAAGTTCTATTTTGTACTAGCAATAATTATTTTATATAAAATTTGTTTTTGCTTTTGTTTACCTTATTTGTTTTAAAATAAAAATGTTTGCGAAGTGAATTATTTCGATATTATGTAAAAATTTTGATACTTTTAACTATTTTGGAAGTTTTAATTCTAATTTGAAACGAAATTTTGTAAACTTATCGACGGTTTGTTTTCCTGAAAGTTTTTTACTAGTAAATACTTTTTACTAATTTTGTAAATTTTAATTTTACTCTCTCTTGCAAGTATTTACTGGAAAAGTAAATGAACAGACCTTATGTGGACTTGAAAATTCTACTAATACAATCATAGAGTTGGGACCGACTGACACACAGTGGTATAGAAAAAAATAGAGGGAAATAATTTTGTAATAATTTTAAACAGGTAGTCCAATTAGAATTGAATTTGAAATTTAAACGTGGAGAAAGGAGGTGTTGTCGAGTTTAGGTTCTGAACTTGGACCTCATGGGCCAACCGGGGGAGAGGCCAGAGGTCCTCAAAGTAAGACACCTCGGGTATGTAAAATTTTTAGAACTATTCTATTTTTTCGTTTTTGAAAAAGTGCGCTTTTTTTAATTATCTTTAAACATTCAATGAAGATATATAAAAAATGTATACTTTTTGAAAACCCCGGCTCTGGTGTGGATAGTATAGCCAAAAAAACTAAAAAATCCCATTTTGGAATTTCTCAAAACTTTTTTGGGAATTGAGAGATTCGTGATAACAAATTCACAATTTCTTTTTAGTTTTACATTCTCAAAGAAAAAGTCTATATAACTGTAATTTTTCGTTAAAAAATATTTTTAAATAGACATTTTATTTAAACCTTAGACCACTTTTAGCTGAGGGGACACCAACGTGCGACACGAGTCATGCGGCACGAGTTTGTAGGCAAAGGGGGTAAAGAAGAAAGGGAAGTAGCAAAAGACGCATGAATATATAATTTGAGGGGTTTTTTTGCTATCTCTTTTGTTACGCGTTCGTATTTTTGGCAGTTGCTTTATTTTTATTCTGCACTCAAGGAGTGAAGATCGTGTGCGATCACTCGAATGCATGATTCAGTGTTGCCACTTGCAATATTTTGAATTTTATTTACATTACATTTATTCCAAAAATAATAAATATTTTAAATATTTGCTTGTTAAATTTTAGTTATTTTTATAAAAAATATAAATAATCAAATAAATAACTATAAAGATAACAATATTTCTCAGCTAAACTCATATTTTAATAATCAATTGGTCATTATTTCACCAAATTTGTATAAATTACACAGTGATACAGCAAAAAAATGCAGGGGTTCTCATATACCAATTCCATTTCGTTATAGTCCATAGAGTAGGAATATATTTTTAATTTTTCCCGATCACTTCGTTTAGTTCCTTTTTAAGAGCAAAAGATGTGAAAAAGAGCTATTTTTTGAAGTTTTAACTTCAAAAAAATATATGTTTGGTAGTTTGCAACCTATTTTCAAATTGGATATTTTGTTTTAAAGATACAAGTGTTGTCTTTCAACCCAAAAAAATAAATCCAAAA